ACTTCCCCCCGCGCGTGCAAATCCCCACCTTTGCACTCGCACCTGCACCCCGCAGAGACGCCACAAGAAATGTGGCGAAAAAACAAATGCTTTTGCGTAAATACCTAGAAGAACAGTGTGTGTAAACACATTATGCGGGTGCCAAGGATGGTGCTTCAGATGCAACTGTGCTCTGCAGATGGTTGTCAGCACTGAAGGGCACAACATGTTTCACACTGCGCATATTAAATATCACTCTTAGATCTGTTACAACGTGGATACCCAAGTAGTTTGTGCTGCAGAAACAACAATTAACTATACGCGGATCCACCAGGCAACGCTAACGAAAGAAACAACGACCCTTCAACCCCCCACAATAATTATATTCCACTCAAATGCACACAGTGAGATAATAGCAGGGATAAACCGCGAGCTGCTTACTCACCGAGGTAATAATCGCGGTCAGCGTTTGTCTGCGTCTTGAGAGAATCCCACTTGAAGTCCTCCCACCCCCCGCGTACTCCCTCCCGGGGAGGGCTTTGTTTGATGTAGACAGCCATTATATATAGACTGTTATTGTTATATACTTATTTATTTAGCTATTCGCTAGAATTTGCACCGAGTTCCTAGTGCGCTGTCACGCGCGCGCAGTGAAGCCGCTGCGGGAGCCAACGCTGGATGCTCATCCTCGGAAGAAGCAACAGGTATCGGCCAAATCTGTACAAATAAAAATAAATAGAACACAATAGTGTACTAACATCTTGGCCGCAGTTCAAATATGCCACTATTCCCTGGTAGAGTATCGTGGCCTGTTGCTGGGGCTGGACATGCAGCCACTTTTTCAGGCGAGCACGATCGCTAGAAATTCAGAGCAAATGAGTCGTGGGACCTGCATAACTCGATTAAATTTAGACTCCACTTAATCTGATTTTTTCAAATAGGGTGAGACTTTCACGCATCGTAACGCCTTCCGAAAGCGTCTCGGAGGGGAAGAGTGGTAGTCTATTATGGGTAAGAATGCCCCTTAGACAACGCGGATACACTCATTTCGGTGGTACTTGAGTAACGACGAATTTCTTGCCATTCCCCCTGGCACATAGAAGGGACCTGAGTCATAGTCAATTGCAGAGCAATTTCCCCCCCAGTTGTACTTCTGCAGTGTCGAACACAACGTTTTATTGCTTGGTAATGAGCAGACAGGGACTGCATTGTCCTTCAACGTGAATGAAGCCTCAGTCGCCATTTCGAGGCGAAGGAATTCATTTTCGCGAGGGCAGGAGGCAAGCTTAGATAGAACACACGCGTCTCGACCTTCTCTCACTTTAGTTAAATCTGTGCTTTTTTCTTTTTCGTGTATGTCCATATTAACCCTACACTGCACCTCCACATTAATTCTAGGGGAGAGATTCGACAGCTCCGTTCGCAAGGTAACAGTGCGGCCTGCAGCTCCACCGCAGGGGTGACAACTCCTCGTTGCTGCTGGGTCGCTAAGCCAGTATATAAGTAGAAAAGAGGAGCTGTCCTTACGGAGTCATCTGAATATAATAATTGTTTGGGGGGAAAGGAATGTGCTCGCGCTATTTCACGCTCATCGCANCGGAGTCATCTGAATATAATAATTGTTTGGGGGGAAAGGAATGTGCTCGCGCTATTTCACGCTCATCGCAATGCGAATATGTCAAGGGCCAACCAGTCCAACCAGATAAAAGCTAGTGCCGGGGACCAACATGAGTGCAAAAGCACAGAAAACTGATTTTTGAACCGCCGCACTGCCGCAGGCTGCACATTCTGCTAATGTAGTGCACGTATTATTTGTATCGGGCCTCCCATAGCCACTTCGAACAGGGCGGGAGCCGCAGAAGTTGGGAGCACATAGCTGCTCTGCGTCTTCCTTCTTTTGTTCTGTCTTGTTATTTTTCTTGTTTGAAGGGCGCCATACGAACTAATGTGCACACTGTTAGCCTTTGCTGAATGTGAGCAGCGCGAAGTCGATGCGGCGGACAGCGTATTCAGGCGGCAGATGGCGCATGCACAGCATTGCAGCGGGATAGCATGAGGTCCTTTGACACAGGAAACTCCCGTATTTTTCGTCTATTCCGCATGTTGTTGTTGCTATGGATGCAAGTGCCTGCACGCTGGCCTGCTCATAGTACGGTCGGTCTCAAGCAGCCACCTGCACCGGCAGGTAGGCGTCGGTGACCGCTGTACCCGTTGGTTGCTCGGCTTGGGGTGCGCCCCTCCGTGCCTTCATTCTGCTTATTGTCAGGACTTTGGCGCGTCTTGCGTACTTCTTAGCAACAGCCAGAGTGCTGATCATGCAGCGGTCGTTCATGCGAGATGGCGATCGACCCCGAAGACCCAGGGCGAGGGAAGTCTTCTCTGTAATATCCTCTTCTCTCATTCCAAACTCTGGAAAAATCCGAGTAATCCGCGGAAAACACTGTGGGATGCGTGCGAACAGTAAGCCAACGAAGCCAATCAAAATGCTCAAGAACCACTGCTCCAACGTGAGNGTGGGATGCGTGCGAACAGTAAGCCAACGAAGCCAATCAAAATGCTCAAGAACCACTGCTCCAACGTGAGGCCCTGAGCATAGCAGCAAAAACAGCAGAAACCGACAGAGTGCCAAGCAAGAAAAGTGGATGAAGGCTCGTTAACGGTGAAGACACCAAGGGACTGATATTCCTGCATGCGCCAACAGAAGCATGTGCGCGCATCTATTCCGCCGCATTCCTAGATCTCCAGTTGCTGGTGTTTGTACTTCCTAAGATTAATAGGCACCAAATACATACATTGCTAAAAAAGCCGATCTTTATAGACAGAGGGGAATCGATACGCCATACCATTGGCTGTTAAATATATTATGCATTTCAAAAAAAAATTGTGGAGGTCTGAGACATTTGGAAGATTTGATCAATCTGAGCTGCTTACCTCTCGGTGACAACCCAGCATAGGGCCGCCGTACTCCACCATCAGGATTTGTGAGCAGAGAATAAACAACCAAATGAAGAACCCCAGAGGGTTGCTTGTCATTTTGGCAAAAAGTCTGGGCAAGGACATTTTTTTTGTGAAGTCCTCTTCGACGTCCCTGGCGTTGATCATGTTAAATAGCTGCATGAGCACGAATGTATTGAACACAAATGTCAGGTGCCGGGACGGACCAATGATTCCTATCCAACGCTCTTCGTAGTCTTCTTCCGTGGAGAACAATTTGAATCTTCTGCCAGATCTCATGAGACTTCCTTGCCCTGNTCTTCGTAGTCTTCTTCCGTGGAGAACAATTTGAATCTTCTGCCAGATCTCATGAGACTTCCTTGCCCTGGAAAAACAGAAGGTGAACCACTGGAACACTCGCTTGCGTTGCAGTTCGTCTCTTCATTTTGCTTTTATTTATAATGCAGCTTTGTTATACCCAGGAGATTCAAAGGAGTAAGTAATGTGGAAGGAACATTTGGACGCACCTGTCGCTGGATCGCAGTCTGAGAATTCACAGAAGTCATTATTTGATCGGTCTGCCGGCAAGAGGTACCCCCACTCTTTTTCCGGTAGAAAGTAGTCTCCGAAGAAGATGAGAACCATCATGACGACGAGTTGGTACACCGCAGAAGTTGTGATGGTGAGTGCCATAGACCGCGAGATGAGCGACTGGTGGCGGTGATGCGGTTTCTCCTTTAGAAGATCGGGCGTTGGCAGCTCCGTAGCGAGGGCCAGCGAGGCGAAGCTGTCCATTATGAGATTGACCCATAGCATCTGAACAGCTGTTAAGGGCGAATCTCGCAGTACAGCTGCGCAGACAATTGTGGTGATCACAGCCACCACATTAACGGTGAGTTGGAACTGCAGAAAGCGCCGGATATTGCTATAGACATTCCGTCCCCACTTCACAGCCTGCACAATGCACTGAAAGTTATCGTCTAACATGACGATATCGGCCGCCTGCTTCGCCACTTCTTTGCCGGTAATGCCCATAGCCAGTCCGACGTCTGCTTTCTTCAGTGCCGGTGCATCGTTGGTGCCGTCGCCCGTGACAGCGACAACCTGGCCTAGTTGTTTCAAGGCTGTGACGAGGACGTATTTGTCGGACGGTTGCGATCTAGCCAGCACTTGAAGTCGCTTCCAAATGCGCTCAAAGGCATCCATGTTCCCGATAACATCCACCCGGAGGTTCTTTCCCTCGGCCTCTGCTGTCTTCGCATCCGTGGCGCAGCCGCAGGTGACCGTTCGGCATGTCTGGCAGACGACGCCGCCAACGAGCTGCGTAAAGTCGGGTCCCAACATTGCCAGGTCTCCTCTTTCTTCGTTGAAGATGTGACATTTCTTTGCGATGGCTTTTGCGGTAATCAGATTATCGCCCGTCACCATCCTCACGTTGATGCCTGCTTGGTGGCACCTCTCCACGGCTCCGGGCACTTCGTCTCGCACGGGATCCTGGATGCCGAATATGCCTAAACAAATAAGGTCTTGTTCGGCAACTAAAAACAACTGCTTCGGGGCAGGCTGCTTCTCCTTCCAGTTGGGCACCGCGTCTGTGCTGAATTCGCGATACGCAATGCAAATTGTCCGGAGGGCCTCACGGGCCATCCCNTCGATGACGCGGTCTTCAATATCCTTCTTCTGTTCCTGATGCAACTTTTGAATCTGGCCGTCGGCAGTCATCACGCCGTTGCACAACTGGAGAACCCTTTCCGCGGCGCCCTTTACGTAGACCCGCACCTGCGACTCTCCACACCCCTCTCGGTAAACCACCGTCGTCATCATCTTTCGGTCGCTAGAAAATTCTTCCCGGTGGGCGATGAGGAGATCAGATCCTTTAACCCGCCGTGTTTCTGCGTAATCTGCCCCGCAGATGAAGTCATTGTATTCTAGTAGGGCACATTCCGTTGCAGATCCCACATACTTCACAGTGTAGCGAGCTGTTTCCTGGCCGTTGTTCAGCGTCATCGTCTCCATTTTTTCGAGGTATGCTGTTGAATTCAAAGCAATACTTTCGGAGACGAGCTCCCACTTTTCTGTTCTTTTGTTGAAACCTGGCACACCCGTTGTTTCTGGACCTGCAAAAGAGGCAGAGGGAATGCGGACGGTTTCGGCTCCATCCCAAAACTCCACGGCGCTCATTTGATTTCTTGTAAGAGTCCCTGTCTTGTCTGAACACACTTCGTTGGCAGAACCCATGGTCTCGCACGCCCCCAGACGCCGTACGTAGTTCTGGTCGGCAAGCATTTGCCCAATGGAATACGCCAAGGATATNACGAGCACCGTTATGGCGGTGACAAAGAAGTGCACATGGCTGCTGACGATACCCAGGAGCGGCGGCCGCTGATCGATTTCCGTGTATGCATAAATAATCCAATACTCCAACACAAGGACGAAAAATGCAATAATGGAGCATATGAGCCCAAAATTGCCTATATCTCCAGCAAGCGCATTCAACTTGAGCTGGAGAGGCGTTGCTTCTGTGTCGAAGGAAAGCTTCTGGTACAGCTGCCCTGCTTGCGAATGTGGACCAACCGCTATGACGATAGCAGTACCGCTTCCGCTGTTTACAGTTGTCCCGGAGAGAACAACGGGAGAGGAAATGAAGTGGTGTTGCATCGACCTGGGGCTGCGTGCGTTGCCGTCTACAAGCTGCGCCATGCAGTCTTCGTAGGTGTCTTTTTTGATCATTTCAGATTCTCCTGTCAAGGAGGACTCGTCCATCCGCAGCCCACGACAGGAAATCACCACGCAGTCTGCTGGTAGCTCGTCTCCCGCTTCAAACTGCAGCAGGTCGCCCAGCACGAGGTCGAACACGGAAACTTGTGTAGGGCAGCCATCCCGTAACACTGTGCAATTCTTGTCGTCTTTAACTGCAGAGAGCTGACGGAACTGCTGCTCTTTAAGCCAGTCATTGCCTGCTGTCACTAGGACAACCACCAACACGGCCACCCAAATCGCAGCCCCTTCCATCCATTCAACTTGAGGGTTTTCGCCAAAGAGTTGGGAGAGGATGATGGAGGCCAGACCGCAGACCATGAGAATCTGCAGGGTATTGTCAGAAGCAGCGTCAATACAAAGGGATAGGAAAGAAGCGGAGGCACGGGAGGGAAGGCGGTTCACCCCAAATAACTTGCGCCGCTGTTCAATATCTTCAGGATCTGAAAGACCAATGGTCCGGGGGACGTGCAACATGTGAGCGATGCCGTCTCCTCCACCCATGTTCTTGAGAAGGGTGAGGTCTTCGCATTGTGTGCGAGTGACGTACGCCTTGACAAGGCCAGTTAGTTTGGTCGTGATATCGTTTGCTTGTTCAGCAGACATGTGATCCAGAAGGCCTTCCTCAATGACGGCTAAGGATTCCTCCATAGAAGAGTCTCTGCGGCTGCTGAGGCGGCGAGAGTAATACGTGCGACTCAGTCGCGGGTCTGCTTCTCTCCTCTCCTGGTAGCTGTCCACTGCGCAGCACAGCCTCCCCATTAACAACAAAGCCATTCCTCCCCAAAGGACCACTCCTACGGCACCACACATCTGCAAAGAACAGATGAAGATAGCCGTTACGGAGGCCAGTTCGCTGATGCGCCAAACCTGGGCGCCGGAGGTCTTCATGAGTGTGTTGGTCGCTAAACTCTTGAAAAAGGGAATAGTGCCCGCCGTCACCCAACACCCTAAAGTAAGCCATGCCTGCTTGTCAAACGAAGCCAGCTGAGATACAGCTATCAAAGCCGGCTGTTCATCTGCTAGCCATATCACCAGCGGCAGCACAAACATCCCCGTGACGCTGCATGCTGCTGTCAGTGAGCCTTCGTCTGCATCGCTCATGTGCATAGCCATGGGCAAATAAGCTCCGCGATACAGCGCGGAGGTAATGGCTAACATAATGCAGTAGTAGAAATTAAGGTATCCCAGAGAGCAGAGGCAGGACAGCCCCAAGAGGCCCACCGCCCACCACCTCAG